AAATAAGAGTATTTATATTTGCCAGACAACAGTTAGAAAATGTTCTCTGGTTATAGGATGAAACTTGTCTCTATTAGCTAACATCTTAACATGTCAGGTTTCTCTAACAGAAACCTAAAAATACTCATATTTACAATTTACACTCTGTAGGCCTAAATATTAATCAGGGGACAAAGTAACATTTAATAGTTTGTTAAATTGTAGCATGATTCAACAGAGCTAAACTCTGTATATATGCTGCACAAGCTAATATCTGCTAACCAGTTATTTTAATTTTAAACTGTTACATTATGTTCTGCTCAGATCACATTGCGCTAAATAAGATCAAATCTGCTGACTTGTTGTAAAATGAGACGTTTTCCTGTTTATCTTCTGTTAATAAATCCATAACAAAAACAGCTTTTCTGGCATTATTTAAAACATTAGATAGATTATATAAACTGTAAAATATCAATAATAGGGGTTATAGGGATTAATAGGGATTTCTACCTTGTCAGTCCTTTTTTTCTGCTCTGTTGTCAACATGTACAGTGATGGGAAATCCAGTCTTGACTGTTTAGCGTTAGCCGTTAGCTTCACCAGCCGATCACACGGTCACGTGGTTTTTGCGCCTCCAGCTGTTCTACAGAACCTCCTTGGATCAGTCTCTTAATCCAGCTGCTGTTGAGGGGGACAGATAAACGACTTCATCCACCCCGCATCTTCAGCTGCAGCGCATCAGACCAAGGCTGAAATAGTGTAATAGGTTCATCAAATGAGTTCCAGTGTATAAAAGTTCAGGGTATCTTTAATTCAGACCCTACTTTATATCCCTAAAATCTGTCACTGAACATGTAATCTGATGCTTTTACTACATTACACTCCTCTGAAATGAAACTAAACGACTGTAAGAGCTGGCAGCGTAAGTTTCGAATGAACCGTCACCCTGACCCCTTTTTAAGTCAAGTGTGAAGGACATCTTTATTATCCCTCTGTCTGTTCTGGATGCACAGATCCTGCACTCCCTCTGCTTCCCAAACTCAAAGGCCCATCCCACTCTGCGTCCCTCAGATTAAATTCAGCCGAACTCTCCTTGTGGAACTGATTGAAAGTCATTTTTCTCCACACGCAGGCTGCATGTCGTGTTCCCCAGCTTTGAGCGGCGATGTTCGCGGACGTGCGTGCGTTAGGCCCGCGTGCATTTTAATTATATTAATCTGGAGAGTTTATGAGATTGCATGGTGCCGTGATAAATGATAATTAGGGGGCGCCGCTCCTCCATGCCGTCCTCCTTGCGTCCTCCAGAGAGCAAAGGGTGAAGACATGGGTAATTACATGCTTCTGTAAATCCTCCCCGAACAGCTCCACCTCTCGTGTCTTTTCTCTCCTGAAATAAGATCAGAAATTCAAGACAACAGAACTCTTTTGTCCCTCTAAACGCCTCTCCCAGTTTCTGAGATTTTCTTGACAGTTTAGAACAAGTGAGATCAGTTTGGAAGCACCAGACGGTGTTCAAAATTACCTTACAGGAAAGAGCTGCAAGGTTAAACTTAAAACTCTGCTGCTGCTTCAATGTTAACAAAGAATTTAACTTTTCATCTATTTGTCAAAAACTGAGACTTAAGCATCTACAAAAAGCTGCTATGTAATAATTCTTAATTAATTCTTAATTAATAAGACAATATTTGGCGCAGTCCAGTTATTTTACACAAAAATTGCTAATGAAGAGTGCACAGGAGATGTAAAAAAATACTTTTTTTACGTCTCAGGACGTAAAAAGTGACATTATTTATGTAAAAAAAATTTTTTTTAC